TCCCCCCGTCATACCGCTGACGAGGGTGCATAACTGTGCGCCATCGTCTACGGTAGACACACCCTGGATCAGGGTCAATCCCGGCGTCTTGCAGCCAGCAGCCAGCATACGGCGTCGCCGTCGACTTTGTACAGAGGTTCTATGTCTCGCTGAGACCAGGGTGAACACGCATTTCCGCGTCGTCCGGTGTCACCCTCACTGTCCGCTACTTTGGAGTTCCGATGTTATCTACAACATCGGACGAAGAGCTGCTAACCCCGCAGTCTTCGTCCAGTGTATAACGTTCCACTTCACGCGTATCTGAAGGGCCGTGTATAAGATGCCTCGGCCTTTGTCCTACCGCGCTATCAATGGCATGCAGTGACTGCTTTGCAACGAGAGCAGTGCTCAGCGGTTTTCTTGCCACTTCACGTGCATCACGGAAGCCTCGCTCTCGATGCCTCGGCCCTTGGCCGACCATGTCACGCATGACATGCAGCGACTGCTCCGAAACTTGAGCAGCCTTCACTGGATTATGTGCCACTCCACGATCAGCCCGCGAGCAACGCTCGGGACTCCTGTCCGATACACCGTTGGTGTCCACCAACTCGGACATTCCAATGTCTAGCACGATGACCGTCTCGGTCCAGTGCTCTCGCCAATAGCGTTTTTTGTCTCCTAGCAGAGGTGTGATCATGACTCGCCAAAGCCCCACCGGGAGACGTGCGCGTAGCGCCCAAGGTCTTTGACCTTCAAGCAGTCCATGACTCATGGTGGTCCAACCGTGCCATTCTTAGGATATGGTCATACCTTGCATCCAAGTCTAAAACTAGACAGCGTTCCACGCTATCAAAGTCAAGGAACTTGACTCCGCGGTCCACAGGAACCTTCGGGACCGTGACACGTGTCTCCGTCGCTAGGCGAACAGTGCCGATGTCACCCAACCGCGCTTTCAGCGCCTCAGCATACAGCCGACTTCCTTCCATTGTGGAACGTTGAGCATAATTGTCCGACGCCCCGGAATCGATGGGGATCTTCCATGGCTTCTCGAAGTCCTTTACGGTCACCTCCACGACCAGCAAGCCCGGCTTGCATACACGTTCCGTGTTCAAGGACACGGAGCTCTTCGGGGCTGGGCCCTGCTGATCTCTACCTCCCTGAGGCTCAGCAAAGCTCAGTTCTTCCCCAGTAGGTCGCTCCGCGCCAACTGGGTGATGTCGTTTCCCCGCGACGAACTAGACTGGAAGGCATTGGGGCGATGGTTCGAAGAACATTGACGCGCCTTGCGAAGGGGGCAACCGCTCCGAAGGTGACGGGTGTCCCTACAGACAAAACACCGTCGTGTATTTGCGTGTTGCTCTGCAGTTCGGAGCTCTGCTCCCTCGTCCGCAGCATAGCTGCTGCCATCCCGGCATATGAGAGTGCGTATCTCTTGTACAAAATCCACCAATTCCTTGTTGCCCTGAAGGGCGTCAAGCAAACGCGATCGCACGCGATATGCCTGATCAGGCGGCGAGAACACTCGTGAGAGCTGCAACTTCAAGCTCCGCTCAGATGGGAAACGCAGCTTCGACCGAAGTGCCGCACATCAGTGCCCATTCTCGCGCTCGACCA